AATGAACCAGGAAAAATTCCTGATTTAACTAAGAAAGCCAGGAAATGAACCAGGAAAAATTCCTGATTTAACTAAGAAAGCCAGGAAATGAACCATTTTCACATCGTGGCTCCTCCAAAGTTTCACTGTGGGCGATTCTCCAGAGCTGACAGCCCTGGGCTCCCTAAGGGTGACTCCTGAGCATTCCCAGGAAAGGAAGGAATAACCTGGCGGCGTTACCTGCCCAGATCTGAAGGCAGAAATCCCCCACCCGGGCGATGTTTTCCTCCCCCTGACCACAAACGGTCCCACACGCCGGGAACCGGCGCCTGGAGGGGGGAAAACTCTCCATATCCTGATTTCCTGTGTCTCTTCGCAGCTGTGCCCGTCGGTGCCCCCCCCGGGAAGGATGTCCTACTACGAGCAGTGCAAGCAGCCCTGCCTGCCCCCTCCCATCTGCCTGCAGAAGGGGGTGAAGCGGGTGGTGGAGCCGTGCCAGGCCGTGTGCCCCGAGCCGTGCCCGGCGCAGTGCGTGGAGGTTTGCCAGGCCCCCTGTGCCACCCAGTGCAGCTCCTCCTGCAGCCCCCAGTGCGTGGATGTCTGTGCCCAGCCCTGTGCCCCTCAGTGCGTGGACGTCTGTGCCCCGCAGTGCGTGGACGTCTGTGCCCAGTCCTGCGCCCCGCAGTGCCCGGCCCAGTGCCCCGAGCCCTGTGCCACCAAGTGCCCCGAGCCCTGCCAGGGCCCCTGCGTGGAGGTTTGCCCCACCAAGTGCGTGGAGTCCTGCGACGCCGTGTGCCTGGAGCCCGTCTGCTCCCGGCCCTGCTGAGCCCGGAGCGCCCCCGGAACGGACACCCCGGCTACAGACCCCCCTGGCATGCTCTGAGACCCCTCCTGCTCTGCCCACCCCGGGGCCTCTGCCCTGGGAAACGTCCTCTCTGACTGGTTCTGCCCTTTCCCTCCCGTGACACTTCTGCTCCTGCTGCCTCAGCACCTCTGGGTTTGGTGGCTGCAGTTGGATGGTATCGGACTGTTGGGCATCTGGGGAAGATGTCCAGCCATGGCTGGGCTGGAAAATTATTGAGCTGTGGTTTTTCTGTCCAAGATGTTTAGCCATGGTTATGCTGGAAAAGTTATTGAGCCATGATTTTTCTGTCCAAGATGTTTAGCCATGGATGTGCTGGAAAATTATTGAGCCATGGCTGTGCTGGAAAAGATGTTGAGCCATGGTTGTGCTGTCCAAGCTGTCCAGCCATGGTTGTGCTGGAAAATTATTGAGCTGTGGTTTTTCTGTCCAAGATGTTGAACCATGGTTGTGCTGGAAAAGCTGTTGAGCCATGGTTGTGTTGTCCCAGATGTCCAGCTGTGGATTTTCTGTCCCAGATGTCCAGCTGTGGATTTTCTGTCCCAGATGTCCAGCTG